ATGTATGTGTGCATTGATGTATGTATGTGTGTATATATGTATACATATTGTAGTGAGGGCGCCGAACGGTTCGAATTCCGTGGTGCGATGAATGACAATGAATGACCGTTCGGCCCCGTCACTGTGATATATACGTAGCACCCCGCAGTTGCGGATGAGAGTGAAGGGGCGGCGGGAACGTCGGCAGTTTGCGAGGCTCAGACGAAGCCCGCCGCCGGCGCAGGATCTTTCAAGCTATGCAACGGCTCGCCGCAGGCGCCGATTTTAGCACGTTGTAGAATGAACGTTGGGGTCGCGGGCGCTTCCCCAAACCGATGCAAGGCAGCCCGCCGCAGGCGCCGAATTTCGCATGTTGTATACGAATTTCGCACTTTGTATACTGTGTGGATCGCGGGTGGGTCGCGGTGGGTCGCGGGTGGTTCGCGGATGGGTCGCGGATGGGTCGCGGGTGGGTCGCGGGTGGGTCGCGGGTGGGCTGCGGGGTGGGTCGTGGATGGGTCGCGGGTGGGTCGCGGGTGGGTCGTGGGGTGGGTCACGGGTTGGGTCGCAGGTCGGTCGCGGGTGGGTCGCGGGTGGGTCGCGGGTGGGCTGCGGGGTGGGTCGTGGATGGGTCGCGGGTGTTTCGCGGGTGGGTCGCGGGGTGGGTCACGGGTTGGGTCGCGGGTGGGGCGCGGGGTGGGTCGCGGGGTGTGTCACGGGGTGGGTTGCGACGTGGGTCGCGGGTGGGTCGCGGGTGGGACGACGACAACAATAGCAACAACACCAACACCACCAACAACAGCAGCAACAACAGCAACAACAAAAACGCAGCAACAACATAACAAGCAACATCCGCACCGTGGATTCTCACTTAAGCCATGCACCCAGGGACAATGAATGACCGTTCGGCCCCTTCACTCTGATATCCAGACATCCTCCGATGGATCAAGGGCAGGTGTCGGTGTATAACCACCACTTGGGAGCCAGCGACTTTTGTACACCGCCGCCCTCCCTGAATGTGCCTACAACATTGAGGGCGTCTGCGTATTCATGTATATATACATATGTTATTAGCTGATCTATTATATGTTGGTGTCGTATGTGCATCCAGGGGCGGCCGATCCGTTCGTCCGACTCTGTGCCGATGCGGTCCGATCCGGCGTTTCGATTTTCCGATCTATAGGTTCGATGTTGCCCGCTCCTGCCCAGTGTTGTCGCGGTCAATGTTGAAATCCGCCAGTGGCTCGGGAACTGCCCATACCGAGCGGCCCGCGCAATCGTAGAGCCAATATTGTTCAAGATTGGCCTGCTGACGACAGGAATCCATCGTAACTGAAACTCTTTGTCGCGCAATGGACTGGCGGGATGCGATTACTTTGGGGTGGGTTGGGTGGGAAATATTTCGCTGCGGTGTGCGTCATATTTTCTCTCTGGCACAGCAGCGTTGTTGTGCGAGGTTCGACGCAATCTCGCAAATTCAGCGGATGCGGATCTACATCCGCCTGGTGTTTGCGCGCGGGGATGGAAAGAAGACCGTAACAACATAGGAGGGAGGAACCATCGGGCAGACGGAAAGATCTTCATTGATCCTTTATGGAAGGCAAGGCGAGAGTGCGGAGGAGGAACGGAGAGAAGAGCAAACAGAAGGCATGATTTGAGGGTGTGGGGAGGAAGGGTAGTACGTTGTAAGGGCCCCGAGATCTCCACAACACCGGTCTCCGAAATCCTCCCTGGGTCTACCTTGGCTGGATGTGTCTCCCCGTATCGAGTTCTGACGGCCCCAGAGCCCCGACCCGGGACCCCAAGACAGATCCACAACCTCGAATTTCGATCCCCGAACCGCGCTCGGGGGCGCGGAACGGACCTCGCCAAGCCACGCGAAGGGACCATTTCCCGCCAGAGCGGACGTGCAGACGTGGCGCATTGGCCGCTGATTGCAAAGTGATGAAGAACGATACCGTGCATTCCAGAGCAGCGACGCTCACGATTGCGGTACGTAATCTCAAAGCTGAGGGGTGCATGGCGCTCTCCGTGCTCACGGCAGGCGTTCTGGACCCCTTTTGCCATTGCGGCTGCTGCACCTCTTCTTTCTTTCCTTCTCCCGCTTCCTCTCACGCGCGCCTTGCTTAGCCTCGCCTCGCCTCGCCTCTCATTTTCTCGGTCTTTCTGAATCCTCTCTCTTTGTGTGTGTGTGTGTGTGCGCCTGTCTGTTTGTCTGCCTGCCAGCTTGCGTGTCTGTCTGCCTGTTTGTCTGTCTGTCTGTTTGTCTGCCTGCCTGCCCGCCTGCCTGCCCGCCTGCCTGCCCGTCTGCCTGTCCGTCTGTCTGTCTGTCTGTCTGTCTGTCTGTCTGTCAAGACACCTCTGGCGCGACGCGGGGGGTCGTTTCCACTCGCTCCAAAGCGGGAGTAGAGTCGACCAGGGGGACCCATTGTCGGTCGCGACATTCTCCGTGGCGCAGAGGGTTGCCTTGGACAGGTTCCGCGGGGAGTTGTTCCGCTCGGACCTGCCGGCGAAGTTGTACAGCTACATGGGCGACTCCTACCTGGTGGTGGAGGCCGCGCTGGCTGCTCCCGCAATGCAAGCCCTGCAACAGGCGCTCCAGCCCCTCTGGCTGCAGCTGAACGCCACGAACACAGCTGCTTGGTCCCCAGCCGGGCGGGCCGTGCTCACGGAAGAACTGCAGGCTTTCTGGGTGCCCATTTGGCTTGTGCTCGGCAAGCGCTTGCGACCACCCGGCGACGCCGACAGCAGCGCGCCAGCCGCCCTTGGGGAGTTGGCGAACAGCCACGCCGAATCAGGGAGTAACCTGCAGACGCTGTACCAAAAACTGAAGAAGCTGCACAAGACAGGGCTCAAACAACACGCGGCGGCAGCCCTCTTCCGCGTCTACGCGGGCCCGGCAAGCCAATGCCCTTTGCGAATGGAGCTCGCCACAGACGCCGCGACGCAGTGCGACGACCTGCTCGCGGGGTGCTGGCGGGACCTGCTTTGGCGGGTGTTCGGCGACGCAGCCAAGGAGCTGCTCGGCCTCCCGGCCCGCTTCGGATGCCTAGGCGCGCCGATGGTTAGCACGCGCCGCCACGCGGCTTTCCTGGCATCGTAGACGCTGGCGGCGGAGGAGCTCACGGAGGACCAAGGCAGCGGGACGCTGGCAGACTGCTTTGCACGGCTGCCGCGGGAGGCCCAGCAGCTGACCACTGCGCGGCGCGGGCTGCAAGACCAAGGGCTGGAGCTCGCCGCGGGCGGGGGTCTGGCGACTGCGCTGCAGACGCCCCTGAAGCAAGGCCTTGCTACGGACAAGGTGCACAAGAACCAGCGCGCAGCTTTGTTGTGACGTTTGCATCTCTCTGGACAGGCCGAGCGGGGCGCGGCCGGCAGCAGAAGCGGCGCCCACCTGACTTGGCCGGGGGACGAACACTGCTCGCTGGAGGACGCCCGCTGGGAGACCAGCGCCCTGCGGCGGCTGCAGCTTCCGCGGCGGACTTCCGCGCGCGGAACTCAGCCAGCTGGAGCTCTCGGGGGCGGGGGTCGCCTGTTGCTTGTGTGGCGCCGACGGAGCTGGCTGCGCCGGGGCTTTGGACGAGCGCGGCTACCGCGCCCTGACTTGCCAGCTGGGCCTGGGAATGCTGGCGCGCCGCGGCGGACTCACCTGGAGGGTCGCCGGGCTCCACCACCGCTGGCGCGGCGAGTGGCCCCTCCTCGAGTAGAGGGTGGGTGCTGACGTTAGACCGCCAGCGCCCGGGCGGCCAGCTCAAGCGCGCCATCTTGGGCCTGGAGTGCCAGGAAGACGACGGTGCCTGCGGCTCGACGTCTCTGCCCGCCGCCCTGCAGGTGGCGCGCGGGCCGAACTGCGCGTGGCTGCGCGCTGGGGCGGCGAGGTCGGCAGGCACGGCGAGCGGGAGATGCGCGCCCGCTACCCGGACGCCCAGCTGACGCCCTTCGTCTTCGAGGCGGGGGGGCGGCTCGGCGCCGAGGCTGGTTTCTGGCTGCTCGGGCAGGCGCGGCGCTTGCCGGAAGGCCAGCAGTCGCGGGAGCTGGCGCGGGCCTACGGGGTCCTGCGTTGTGGTCTGCAAGCGGTCTCGGCGCGCCAGCTCCGCAAGGCGGCTGGCCCGCGCTAGACGGCGCGCCAAGTGGCGGGGGGCCCGCGGGCGAGGCGACGGCGCGGCGCCGGACGGCGACGCTAGCGCGGTGGCCACCTCGCTGGCGGGCGGCGGGCGGCCAGCCGCCCTGGTTCGGCGCGCGCTGACGGTGCGCCCGCCAGCTGCCGGGCGAGCGGGCGACGCGGGGCGCCGCGAGGCGCGCGGCAGATTCGACGGCGGCCGGCGACGCTGGTCGGGTAACGGGCGGAGGGGCTTCCCGCTTGCGGCTGGGCACCTCGGCCGGGCGCCCTGGGCTGGCGCGGACCTGCGCCTGAAGCTGCAGCGGGCCCGAGCGCTGAGCGGCGGCTGGGGGAGGGGGGGTGCGAGCCCGAGGAGCGCCGCCACGCCGACCTCGCGGTCGTTATGGCGCTCCCGGGTAGCGGAGTGCGGGGTCTAGAGGCCTGGCCGGCGCGCCCCCTGTCCCCCCGGAGATGGCCGATGCGTGGTGGTTCTGGGCGCCAGGTAACGGTCGTCCTCGGCTGGCTGGCGCAGAGCGTTGATGGATTGCGCCGGCCCCCAGCAAGGCTTCTCGCAAGGACGGGCCTTCCTTCTTCTCCTCCTTTTCCCCCTGTCTGTCTGTTTGCTTGTCTGTCTGTCTATATGTCTGTCTGTCTATATGTCTGTTTGTCGGTCGTCTGTCTATCTGTCTGTCTGTCTGTCTGTCTGTCTGTCTGCCTGCCTGCCTGCCTGTCTGTCTGTCTGTCTGTCTGTCTGTCTGTCTGTCGGTCCGTCTGCCTGTCTGTCGCTCCCCGTCTGCATTTGTGTAACTATCCTTGTTTCTTTCCGTGCGTGAGCGCCTTGCGCGCGCGTGCGTTGCGCGCTCTTCCGGCGGTCGGGCCACGGCGGGCGACGTGCTTCCTCGGAGCGCGCTCCCGCCTGCCCAGACCGGCGTGTCCGCGCTGGACCAGAGCATCGCGGAGTCCGAGGCTCACGCCGCCGCCGCCGCCGCTGCCTCCGCCGTCGTTGTCGTCGCCGTCGTCGTCTCCGTCGTCGTCGTCGTCGTCGTCGTCGTCATCGCTGATGAGGTAGCGAATCGACCGCCGCTTTTCGGGTGACAGTGCAATGCGCTCGTCGTCGACGTCGCGTTGTCGTGGTCGTCATCGTGTTAGCGTCGTCGCCGTCGTCATCGTCGTCGACGTCGGCGTCGTCGTCGTCGTCGTCCTCCCCCTTTTCCTTATCCGCCGCTCCATTTCGATGGGGTTTGTGGGAAAAGGGGGGGCAAACGAGGTGCTCTCGCGCCGTGTAAGATATCCGGCCTTCACGCCGATGTCATCCCACCGCGCAATTCTTGTTTGTTTCCGCGGACGCATGTCGCAGCGAAATTAACATTCCTCAGAAGACACTATCGTATAATGCGCAATCGGTAAAAGAGACGTTGCGTACATAGGAGGAGGGGGAGCATGAGGAATTGGCGGATGAGCAGGAGGATGAGCAGGAGGGAACGGATGATGATGAGGAACGAGGCCGGGACCAGGACGAACAGCAGCAGCGGAAAGTGGAGTGGAAGGAGCGGGGGGGGGAAGAGGGCCAGGAGAAAGCGGAGGACGGGAAAGAAAGGGGCTGACGTCGATGAGGAAGGATTCGGATCCAGAAACGTGGCCCTAGCTTGGGCGACCAGAGACTGCAGATCCTACAAAGAGGCCAACGCTTCAGCGGCAGCGTAATTTTGAGATGTCGAGGACGTTCTGATGGGAATACGCCATAGGAGAGAGACATGTTGGAGCTTCTGCGCAAATCACAATACGCGGAGTGGGCCGACCGTGTTCCAGACAGGGCCAGGGGAGAGATGGGAGTAGTATCCATGACATGTAATTGTGGATGGCGGAAGTCGGAGGAAGACTCAGGAGGGAGTGCCATAAAGAGGAGGAACAGGAGGTGAGGGGGATGGAGTTGGAGGATGAGGAAGATTGTGAGGAGGAGATGATGATGTTGATGGTGACGGCGAGGAAGATGGTGCTGCTGATGGTGATGGTGATGCTGATGTTGGTGATGGTCATGATGATGTTGATGATGATGATGATGATGATCATGATGATGATGATGCTGCGGGTGGTGATGATGATGATGATGATGATGATCATGATGATGATGCTGATGGTGATGACGAGGATGATGATCAGGAGGATGACGATGAGACGATCATGCTGCAAGCAGTGATGATGATACTGAGCACGAGGACGAGGACGAGGACAATGACGACGATGACGACGCGACGACGACGATGATGCTGATGATGATGCTGATGATGATGGTCATGACGATGATGTTGGTGATGCTGCTGCTGCTGATGATATTGATGATGATGATGATGATGATGATGATGATGCCCATGCTGGTGATGATACTGATGATGCTGATTATGAAAACGAACATGATGAGGAAGATGATGCGATGCTGCTTTTAGTGATGAGAGTGTCGGTGATGATGCTGCTGATGATGCAGATGATGACGATACTGATGATGCTGATGATGATGCTGTTTGTAATGATCTAAGTGTCTATGGCGATGATGGTGATTGTGATGATGATTATGATGCTGGTGATGACGTTGGTGATGGTGATGACGATGGAGATTCTGATGATGAATAGTCATGGTGGTGACGATGCTGATGATGCTAATTATTGTGCTGGTGGTGATGGTGCTGGTGGTGATGATGGTGATGATGATACCGATGATGCTGTTGATAATGCTGCTGTTGATGCTGATGATGATGAGGATGATGCCAAGATGAAGCTGATGATAATGATGATAATGAGGATGATGATGTTGATGATGATGATGATGTTGGTGACCATGCTGATGATTAGTTTGATGATGATGAGGATGCTGATGCTGCTGATAATGATGGATGCTGACTGTGATGATGCTGATGATGGTGGCTATGATGATGTTGCTGATGGTGATGATGATGATGATGATGGTGGTGCTGGTGATGATGATGGTGGTGGTGATGATGTCTTCCATGATGGTGATTATGGCGATGATAGTGATGGCAATGATGATGATGATGATGATGATGATGATGATGATGATGATGATGGTGTTGGTGATGATGATGATAATGTTGATGCTAATGATGCTGGTGATGGTGATGACGATGACTATTACAATGATGACGAGGATGAGGATGCTGAGTAATCTGAATTCGATGATGATGATGATGCAGATGGTGCTGGTGATGGTCATGGTGATAGTGATTGTGATAATGTTGATGTTGATGATGAGGATGATGCTGTTGTCCAACATGATGTTGATACTAATGATGATGATGATGATGATGATGATGATGAGGATGATGATGATGATGGTAAAGACGATGATGATGATAACTATGATAATGATGATGAGGATGCTGAGTCCGAGTGTGGCGATGGTGATGATGATGATGATGGTGATGGCAGGGTTGATGAGGATGATGTTGATGCTGCTGATGATGGATTGCGATGGTGAGGATGCTGATGATGGTTCTGATGATGATGCTGCTGCTGCTTGTGATGATGATGATGGTGGTACTGGTGATGCTCATGGTGATGATGATGATGATGATGATGATGATGATGATGATGATGATGATGCAATTCATGATGCTGATGATGATGCTGCTGATGATGATTATGGCGATGGTGATTGTGATGGTGATGCTGATGATGATGGTGATGGTGATGACGATGATGACGATGATGAAGACGATGAACTCGATGATGATGGCGATGCTGATGATGATGATGATGGTGATGATGATGTAGGCGATGATGATTATGATGATGATGGTGATGCTGCTGGTGCTGGTGCTGGTGATGGTGAGGGTGATGATACTGATTCTGATGATGGTGGTGGTGGTGATGATGATGATATTGCTGATGATGACGATGATGATGATGATGATGGCGATGATGACGATGATTATGATGATGATGATAATGATCATGTTGATGATGATGATGATAATGATGATGATGATACTGATGCTGCTGCTGCTGCTGATGATGATGATGATGATGATCATGATGATGATGATGATGATGATGCTGATGCTGATGCTGATGATGATGCTGATGACGATGATGATGATGATGATGATGATGATGATGATGATGATGATGATGATGATGATGATGATGATGCCGATGTTGCTGATGATGGTGGTTGTCTCGATGAGGGAGTGTCTCGTCGTATGGCGCCTAGGCGTTGCGTGGGCAGAGACTCCGCGGGAATGCGTCAGAGCGTTGGAAGGGGCACGAGTTCCATTGGGAGATGCCTCAGGGTTTCTGAGGGTGTCCACGTTTTTGTCGGTCCAGCTGCGTCACGGTCGGCTGCGTTCGGTCGGTTCGGTTCGGCCTGTTTTTGTGTCGTTGTTGCGTCGCTGCGGTCTTAGTATTCGCCAGCACTCCTCAGGATCATTTGGGATCCCCCAGGATTGGGTTTCATCACTGTTCCTATGGAGTACACCAGGTTCGACAAAGTTGCGTAGGATTTCCATGTCTCTTATAGGTTCTTTTGCTTTACCAGGATCCGGGGGATCTGAGGATTCCTCAGGATTCTTCGGATTTTGCAGGAGTGCTGAGGGTCCCTCAGGATGTTTGAGGATTCCCGCGGGGTTTCTCAAGGCGCCTCAGGGGATTACCCAGGGTCCCTAGAGTTTACCAGGATTCCTTTGGAATTCGCGGCGAGCCGAGCACAGAACCCGGCCGAATTCAGAACACGACGACGCCATATCTGATACCCAGCCATCCACCATGCAGAGACGCCACCCATTACAGCAAAGCAAGAGCCAACTGCACTGGCCGAACGACAAGCGCATGCCGAGACACCCCTATGCCGCAGAAATGAAACTGCAGACCACCAGATATTACGATGCGCCAGCAACTGCAATAAACTTAGCCAAAGGGGAGCCCCCGCCATGCGTGTTGAATAGCCGACGGATGCTTTTGATATGCGTCTTCTGGTCCTCGTTCGACACAGCAACCTCTCTACACCTGTTCTTGAGGTTGAGAATCTCGCCATCGAGCTTTGCCGAGTAACACGCGCATTTGGTACATATCACCGTGTTGGCCGACCACGCCGTCTCGTGCCCGAGCAGTCGGTCAACCTCGCTGTTGTTCTGAAATTCCTGCTCCAGCTCCGCGTTAGCACCCAGAATAATACCAGCTGCTTCCAGCACATCCTGCACCGCAACAGGTCTATAAATCTGGAGCTGTCTGCCCTCGACGACGTTGACGTAGGCGTCCATACGAGCGCGTTGCATAGCCGTCGCAACACAATGACTGCGAGCGCCCCACCTCAAGTTGTCCAGGTGCGTCGCCGTCTTGGCCATGGCCCCACAGTTACGGCACCTCCAGATCTGCTGGCTCTTGTGATGGTAGAACATGTGCTCCAATATCGCCAGATGGAGGTATTTCTCCTTCGCCACCGTCTGCACTCGTTCGCTTTTCCATAGCTGTTGCTGAAACAGCCGGGTCAGAGCCCAGCTAAGATGCTTGGCCATCATGCGCCCCTCGTCAAACACGTGCTGGACGTACTCGACATAGCTCCTTGCGATGGTGACCTCCTCCGCGCCTTTCTTAGCGAAGTAGTCCGCCCATCCGTTGCCAAGAACCCACATAGGGTCCAAGCCCGGATGTCCCCGTCCTTGGACCACTTCCATAACATCAAGATGAGATGGACATCATTTGCTCTGCGGCACGAACAACTCGCGCTTGCTGATTTGGCTGTGGATCTTGCGCCATACTCCAGCATGCATTGTCTCTGCTGCTTCGTCGGCGTCACTCCAGCTGCTGCCTTCTTGGACTACCGGTTGCAGGTCAGAACTAATCATGTCCGCTTTGAAGTTTAGCAGGATACCGTTCGCAACATCGCATGTCGTTCAGCCAGCCCAATAGTTTGTTGACACCCTGGCAGCCCATCGTAAATCGCACGGCACGGGTAC